CATTTTTATATAGCGCTTACCTTACAGCTCTAAGCGCTTTACAATTAATAAAAACATCTAAACTATTTAAACTGCTAAAGTAAAATAAAAATGAAAAACCAGAGACACTAGAATAGTAACTACTATATTAACAATGACTATAGAAACAGTAGCTTAAACATTAAAATGGCTATAAAAACGAGTACACTTTGGCATTTACACAATGGAATGACCAGATACCTTTATTTATACAATGGCATGACCAGATACCTTCATTTACACAATGGTATGACCAGATACCTTCATTTACACAATGGTATCAACATATATCATTATTACCACAATTGCATGACCAGATACCCTAATTTACACAATTCTATGACCAGATACCTTAATTTACACAATGGTATGACTAGATACCTTCATTTACACAATAGTAAGATACTTTCATTTACACAATGGAATAGGCAGACACCTTCATTTACAGAATGATATAACACAGTGGTATTTCTAGATACCTTCATTTACACCGGGGTTTCAAACTCAAATTAGCCGGGGGCCGCAGGAGGTAGAGTCTGAGTGAAACTGGGTCGCATTATGTAATCCACAAAAATGTGGTTACAAATTCAAGTACAGCTGTTACAATCTGCTCAACCTTTATTCATAACAAATAAAACATTAAGGGTTCTCAAGAACTAGGCTTCACTTACTTGCTTCTTCTACTAGTTGTTGCACTTCTTCTCACAAAGCTGAGCAACATGTGGCTTGAGTGAGGAAACAACTGAGACCCTCAGTACAGCTTGGAGATGCTCATCAATTGTAATTTTCGCCCTGAACTTTGACAAGTTGAAGTAAGTTCATAGTGGAAAAGAGCTTTTCACACAGATTAGGTACTCCCAAAAAGGCACATGATCCGCTTGAACAACTTGGATATCTCAGGGAAGGTGGAGGGCAATTCTCTCATAAATTGTCTAAGCTTGTCTGTTCTGTTCACCTCTCTGAACTTAGCCGTGAGTTCAGAATTACACCTAATTTTAATGAGCTCCGTTTGAAGGAAAAAAAAAGTGGAGGGGGGGGGAGCATCTTCCACATTTAAGGAGGAAGAATCAGCAAAAATTTGAAAAGTGGCTGTGTGTGTTTTGAAGTCTGTAAACCTGTAATTATCAAATTCTTCCTGTAGCTTTTCAATGGCATCAGTATATTTACTAATGAATGGTGTGCCTGAGTCCATGAATACTTTGCATGTTGGAAAATCTTAGAGGTTTCTCTCAGAATGATGGGCTTTCCATAGCACAAGTTTTGTACAGAATGCCATGACATTGTCATAGCCAACACCGACAAGCCACCCCTGGTCTTGTAACGTCTTGTTGAGTACATTCAGCTCCTGTGAAATGTCAACAATAAAAGCCAAGTCCATAAGCCATTTTGCATCATTTAGTACAGGAAAAACCACCCCATCCTTCTCCACGAAGGCTTTGATTTTTGCTCTCAACTCAAAAAATCTTTTCAAAACGATTTGTCTACTATGCCAACGTACCTCGGTGAAGTAGATCACATCCTCATTTGCTGACTCTATTTCCTCTAAAAAGTCACGGAACTGACGGTGCTTCAAGCCCCTGGATCTGATATGGTTGATGCATTTCACAACGTCAGACATCAAATTGTCAAACTTCAGGCATTTGCTGCAAAGGGCCTGCTGATGGATAATGCAGTGTAGTGCAATGGCCTCTTCCATACCTTGCTCTTGAACATGTGCCACGAGTCCATTTTTTGTCCCTAACACTGATGTTGCTCCGTCGTTTGTTATTCCTGCAACATTTTCCCACTGTAAACTGACATCCACAATAGTATCACACAGCGGGCTGAATATCTCACGAGCTGTGATTTGGCCTTGCATAGGAACCACTTCAAAATTAGCATCAACACCACGGACATATATTGCGAGCTGTGCAGTGTCAGTAACATCTAAGCTCTCATCAAGAGCGACTGAGTATGCATGGAAATGTTTACCTTTCTTGGCCAGATATCGTCATTTACACAATGGTATGACAAGATACCTTCATTTACATAGTGGTATGATCCGCTACCTTCATTTACACAATGGTAAAACCAGATACTTTTATTTACATAATAGAATGACCAGCTACCTTCATTTACATAACAAAATGACCAGATACCTTCATTTACACAATGGTATGACCAGATATCTTCATTAACATAATAAAATGACCAGATACCTTCATTTACACAATGGTATTACCAGATAACTTCATTTACACAATGGGATGACCAGACACCTTCGTTTACACAATGGTATGGCCAGATATCTTCATTTTAACAATGGCTTGACTAACTATCTTTATTTACATAATGTTTTGACAAGATATCTATATGTTCACAATGGTATGACCAGCTATCTTCATATACACACTGGAATGACCAGATACCTTCATTTACACAATGGAATGAGGAGATAACTTTATTTACATCATTGTATGACAAGATACCCTCATTTACCCAATGGTATGACCAGATTCTTTCGTTTACACCATGGAATGACTAGATACGTTCATTTAGACAATTATTATTGTATGACCAGCTATCTTCATTTACACAATTGTATGACCATAATGGCCCCCCTTCCCTACCCAAATGATGTCCCTGATGCCCATAGCTTAGAGCAAACCTGGCTACTTCATGGCGTTCCACTTTACACGGGAGCTCCATGCAGCATAAAGTTGGCAGAACAGTGACTGCTGAGCGCAAGAGACACGCCAGGAAGGTCCTATACCATAATTGTCATCTTTACTGACATTAATCATATTTTTACCACAAAAATGATATGTCGTCTGTAAGAAACTTTTAATTGATTTTGCATTATAAAATTTAATTGTAAAAACTCTTTTACTTGATTAACAAGCTAAAGATGTAATAAAATGTATTTCCTACAATTTTGTGTAATTAAAATAGATCAGCACAAAGTAAATGCATTTATAAATGTATTTATAATATAATTCCTTTCTTGTGGGGGGTGGGGGTGAGGTGTAAAAAATGTTGACATAATTACATAGTGAGAGTCATTAAAAGTTTGGCAGAAGGGTCTTCTTTATGGAACACGAGGGAAGAAGGTATGGAGTCTTAATATTAACATTTTGTACACAAGAAGATGTCCGCACAAGAAAAAACATAATTTTTTGTCCGTTTGGAAATTAAATATAAAAAAAAATTATTTTAAAACACATTTCTTAATACGTTGTTTGATAGCATAATTTTATTTTGTAAAATTGTAGTTTTTTTTCCAACAAATTTAAAGAAAATCAATGTTAACTATTCACTATGATTTATGATGTAATTATGAACTATACAGAATACTAATACATGTTTTCATTATGATGTCATTGCTACCTCGAGAAAATATGTGCTATAAAAAAGGGGATTATGGTGGAGAGGAATTGGTGACTGTTGAGACCCGCCGGTCCTCACCTTTTTGAGACCCACTGGCTCATACGCTCTCCACCCCTACCCCACGCTCTTCATCGCTACCCCACGTGACAGGCATACTTAGGCTGGGCCTTACAGTCATAACAATCTCATTGTCTATGAACAGAGGATATTAATTTTGTCACCTTAACCGTGACCCAGCTTAAACAATGCACTCATTCTGGTCAAAGCGGACCCACGCTCACGCAATAATTCAGGGCACGCGCCCTGTACTCAGTAAAAAGGCACCCCTTAATCATTTATCGCCCTCTTTCACCTGAAGTTTGTCAGTAGGCACTGGCTGGCATAATTATTTGATGAAGTTTGTTTATCCATAATTTGCTGGATTAGTATTGTTAATTTTCAAATTCATGTGTCTTTAGGATGTAGTTTTGTTAAGAAATGTTAGGATTATAGTAGATTATGATTGATTATTAATAATGTGATGAGATTTTAATTCTTATTTATGTCTTATGCGTTGTATTCGTTATTCTCATTTCTAGCCAGTTAGTTGGAAGCTAGTGCAGTTAGCACAGTTAGTAACAGTTAGTACAACTAGTAACAGTAGTGTTGATTTTAGTCAGTATAGTTGAGCTCATTTAATGATAGTATGGTTGAGCTGAATTTAGTACAGTTCGGTGCAGTTGAATTAGTGGAGTCAGTCGTTCAGGGTCAGACTAACACCAGAGAGAGAGAGGCCAAACCAATAAGGCTGCTGTGTGTGTGTGTTGAACCTTAACTCCTTGGAGGACAAGATCGACAAGCGCAAATTAGCCGATCGAAAAATTGTATTAAGTATTAGACAGTATAATTAGCCATTGCTATATATTTATATGTGTGTCGTTAATTCTGTTTATAATTAAATATTTATTTGTGGGCTGAACCACCTGTGTTTCTTAGTATAGTGATAGCATTAATAGAAGTGAGAGCTAGTGGGAGCGTCATTGAATGTTAGAGTGAGATTAGTTTAGAGTGCTTAATTAGGAAATATAATCATACCCTAGACATAGCCCTAGTGGCCCTTCTAATCTAATGTAAAGTAACACAGGGGACCTTATAAAAACACCTTTCTAAACAACCCAAAAGTTAACATTTGAGGGGCTGTTTACAGAAGCAAAAATTAGTTGCTATGGATTTTGGTAGTTAGTGGGTGAGAGATAGAGGAAGAAAGAAGACATGCTGTGAATTTTATTGTTGAATAAACAAAAAAGCAAACTTATCAAATATTGATCTTCGTGTTGTAATTAAAACTAACAACTCTTAGACTTAATCGAGGCTATTGAACTACTTTTGCAATTAGCAGGATTATGACAGTTTCCCTTGTAGACAGTTATCTAATGCTCTACTGTAAGAGTATATCTTGAAAATGTATTATTTAAAAAAAATATCCTTTTGATAGTTTCTTGAATAGTCTGCTGTATGTAAACTGAATCGGTTAGTATTTTGAATTAAAAAAAAAAAACAAAAAAAAAAAAAAAAAAAATTAAAAACAAAAAAAAAAAAAAAAATTAAAAAAAAAAAAAAAAAAAAAAAAAAAAAAAAAAAACTTACAACCTAATAATGCTAAGTAATCTGAGAATAAATAATATATATTTGTTTAAAAAAAAATATTTGACCGTTCAACATTAGCATCAGGCTCCTCACAGAAGTGGTGATATTAAAATAACACTTTAAATTATTGATAATAGAAATCGCTCATGGAGGAAAAAAAAATCAATAATGCAAACATGGTTTATCGCACCGTATAATGTACAGATAACATTACAATAAGATATCACGTCTCTTAGTATCCATACAACTTAGGATTGTAGGCTAGCACTTGGCCTGGAAGATAGAGGAGAAAAAAAATGTGATTGACATTTATATTAGTAATTCAATTTGTTTATGTATCACACAGTTTCAAAATAATTCGCAAAATATTGCATTGCATACCATATACTAACAAAATAATTCAGCCGCGCTGCATTGCATACCATATACAAATAAAATAATGACGCAAAGATACATTACATACCATGTACTAACACTATAATTAAGCCATGCTACATTGCATACCATATACAAACAAAATATTTAAGCAGTGCTACATAGCAAACCATTTACATCTATTCTGGGAATATCGCTTGCTTTTTTTTTTAAAAAAAGTATTATACCAATCGCTTGTGTCATAAATGAACCTGGAGTGCCAGCTTGTGACATCATGCCATTTGATAGTGTCTTAAATGTACCTGGAGTGCCAGCTTGTGACATCATGCCATTTGATAGTGTCTTAAATGTACCTGGAGTGCCAGCTTGTGACATCATGCCATTTGATAGTGTCATAAATGTACCTGGAGTGCCAGCTTGTGACATCATGCCATTTGATAGTGTCTTAAATGTACCTGGAGTGCCAGCTTGTGACATCATGCCATTTGATAGTGTCTTAAATGTACCTGGAGTGCCAGCTTGTGACATCATGCCATTTGATAGTGTCTTAAATGTACCTGGAGTGCCAGCTTGTGACATCATGCCATTTGATAGTGTCTTAAATGTACCTGGAGTGCCAGCTTGTGACATCATGCCATTTGATAGTGTCTTAAATGTACCTGGAGTGCCAGCTTGTGACATCATGCCATTTGATAGTGTCTTAAATGTACCTGGAGTGCCAGCTTGTGACATCATGCCATTTGATAGTGTCTTAAATGTACCTGGAGTGCCAGCTTGTGACATCATGCCATTTGATAGTGTCTTAAATGTACCTGGAGTGCCAGCTTGTGACATCATGCCATTTGATAGTGTCTTAAATGTACCTGGAGTGCCAGCTTGCGACATCATGCCATTTGATAGTGTCATAAATGTACCTGGAGTGCCAGCTTGTGACATCATGCCATTTGATAGTGTCTTAAATGTACCTGGAGTGCCAGCTTGCGACATCATGCCATTTGATAGTGTCATAAATGTACCTGGAGTGCCAGCTTGCGACATCATGCCATTTGATAGTGTCATAAATGTACCTGGAGTGCCAGCTTGCGACATCATGCCATTTGATAGTGTCATAAATGAACCTGGAGTGCCAGCTTGCGACATCATGCCATTTGATAGTGTCTTAAACTCACCTGAAGTTCCAGGTTGTGTCATCATGCCACTTGGTTGTGTCATAAACTCACCTGGAGTGCCAGCTTGCGACATCATGCCATTTGATAGTGTCTTAAACTCACCTGAAGTTCCAGGTTGTGTCATCATGCCACTTGGTTGTGTCATAAACTCACCTGGAGTGCCAGCTTGCGACATCATGCCATTTGATAGTGTCTTAAACTCACCTGAAGTTCCAGGTTGTGTCATCATGCCACTTGGTTGTGTCATAAACTCACCTGGAGTGCCAGCTTGCGACATCATGCCATTTGATAGTGTCTTAAACTCACCTGAAGTTCCAGGTTGTGTCATCATGCCACTTGGTTGTGTCATAAACTCACCTGGAGTGCCAGGTTGTGTCATTATGCCACTTGAATCGTCATAAACACACCTGGAGTGCCAGGTTGTGTCATTATGCCCCTTGGTTGCGTCATAAACTCACTAGGAGTACAAGCTTGTGACATCATGTCCCTTGATTGCGTCATAAACTCACCTGAAGTTCCAGGTTGTGTCAATATGCCACGTGGTTGTGTCATAAACTCACCTGGAGTGGCAGGTTGTACCATAATGTCCTTTGGTTGTATCATAAACTCACCTGGAGTGCCAGGTTGTGTCATTATGTCACTTCGTTATGTCATAAACTCACCCGGAGTGTCAGGTTGTGTCATCATGGCACTTGGTTGTGTCATAAAATAACCTGGAGGGCCACCTTGTGACATCATGCCACTAGTTTGCGTCATGACAGCACCTCCCTGGGCCGGAGGTCCTATAACGTTGACAACTCTAGTCGGAGCTGTGCATTTCTTACATATTAGCACAATGGCGACTATGACAAGAACCAGTCCAGCGAAAGAACCAACCGCTATGCCAACGATGGTTCCAATGCTAAATACAGATGACACGGTACTGCTATAGCCGCTGTAGCTGCTGTAGATGCTGATGAGATGGAAATGGAGAGCAAACGTTTGATAATGTTTGCTGCGAGTTGTCCTTTTAAAAAAATAGCATGTACTTTCAGATAATGTGTACTAATTCATCAATGAATATAATTAACGCCGTGTGTCTGGAACTTACGCTAAGCTAAACAACCGCTGGAACAGCGTTGAATTTATAGCGTGCGCAGGTAGTTCTCCTTTAAAATCGTTGACACTCAGATACAAACATTAGGTCTACAATGTTTAAAAAAAAAAAAAAATTAAGTTAGAAAACAAAAATTCAGCGATACGAAAAAGAATCAAGGGAAGAAACCCAAGCTGCACGTACAAGAAACAAGAACCATGCATTCAAGTAACGTACTTTATAAGACTCCCATTTAGGGTCACCCATCCTGAACTTTATTAATAGTGTTATGTACCACCCCCTTTTATTTACACCGCAGGTTTAAAATGCGATTGTTTTGATATTCAGACTTATTCCGTAAAACAAAATAAGATGTTAAGCACCAAAGGCACATGAGGTATTTTTTTAAGAATCTCATTTTAGTCGCAGTTATCGGGAATTTTATTAAGTGAAGTCAGCGCCATCTGATAGCATTAGTGACATTTTGGGTTACATTTTGTTACACTCTTTACTTTCGTCTTCCCTATTTAATCTCTCACTTACTTACTTTCTGTCACATTTCATTGGCTGCCCACGGGTACTACCTCTAAGCTAAATGCTATTTATTTTTAATACTGTTTTTTTTCTGTTGTTTTGCTCGCTGACGAAGGCTTCCTGCCGACACGTTCGTTGTTTTGTGGCGTTCCTTCTTCAGGTTTAACCCTTCTTTGTTTTACTCATTTTATATTGTGCTAACCTGATTGCACTCTCCCCCCTTCTTACACTAAAAGGGAAATAACTGAATATTAAGAAAATGAACGCAGGTCTCACGGTTGTCTATCAACAATCATTGTTTTTATGTAATGTTAAAAAAAGAAATCTTTTAAAGATCAAATCATTTCAAATTGTGTAAGTGCAACGCTGTTCCAACGATTGTCTCCCAGTTTCTCCTGCCCTCTCTGTCTCTCCCACATCCCTCTCTCTCTCTTCCCCTCCGTCTCCCTCCCTCCCCTCTCTCCCTCTTCACGTTAACTCTAGACATACGACGAGAGTCCTTTTAGTTGATAATGTTGAATGACGATGATAGAGGATGATAGATGATTATAGATGGTTATAGATGATGATTATAGATGATGATTATAGATGCTGATTATATTAAGGCTCTATGTTTTTTAAATGTATTTTAATAATAAATATACACCTATGTTCTCTATTGTCCTAGAACAAATATGGCTATGTAGATTTGTTTGTCCGACCCCAGGCTCAGATTTGACCAAAATCGCACTTTTTCTTAGATGATCTATACAGAAACGAATAGTGTCATGTTTTGTGTTGCGATTCGGCCATGAGCAATCGATTTAAGGTTTCATTGTTTTACAAAAGGAACATTTTTCCTATGTGCGCTGCATATGATAGCTTTGTACTTTGTTCATTACAAGAGAATATTGTGTTTGGTGTTTATTTACTTTGACGTCTAAGCGTTGCAGAACGCATCATTATTATTGAATAACCGTTCTCTGAGAATTATCATTGAGAGACTAATCATTGAGAGAGTGCATTTTCATTTCAGAAAGACTGATCCTCGATAGAGTGAATTATCATTCATTGAGAGAGACTTATCATTGAGAGGGTGCATTATCATTTAGAGAGACTTATCATTGATAGAGTGGGTCATAATTGAGAGGGTTAATTATTATTGACAGAGTTGGATATCATTGAGAGAGTGAGTTATCACTTAGAAAGACATATCATAGAGAGAGTGCATTATCACTGCAGCGTGCTTATAATTTCCAATTTTAATGTCATTGCCCACAACTGTCAAAACACATTTGCTAAGTTTTTGATCGCCTGATAAATTATTGTTCAACATTTTGTGCAAGCGAAATTAACTAAAATGTTAATAGAGAAGTGTTATTCTTTATCAAATTAATAGACAATTTTTTTATATTGTTATTACGAAAAGCTGACAAAAATTTATAAACTTGATGACTTTTATAAATAGATAAAACAAATCTTTGTAAAAGTGGATACATTATTGTACCCAATTGTAACGAGTATAGACTAATGCGAGAAGTTTATGGAATTAAACAGCATCTAAAAACAAAGTTTTACGTATAGATCATGTATATACCTTTTGCTATTTTATTTAAGGGTAATATTCTAATGCCACACCCGCTTTCACACCTCAGATTTATTCCAACAACTATTTCAGAAAAGCAAAAGAAAATATTACACACCAAACGCACTGGCGATATTTTTAAAAAAAGAATCTCATTTCGAACAATTATCGGGAATTTTATTCGTGAAATAAATAACACGATATGTCCATCAACATTTCCCTTGAAAACCGGAAAAAAAAACCTGATTGTTGGTGTTGGGGCCGCAGGGATGTGCTAAAAAATTTGAAAGAATGTGTTGTCATCGGCATCAAGTCTATGTGCCAAGTTTCAGCTCTATAAGTTGACGGAAAGTAGATCAATCAGCCATCTAAAGATTTTGCCACCCATCCATTAATACATGAACAAAATTGAAGTTATTTTAAAGGATTTAAAATGGTACTTTATTTGATGGGTTCACATTATGCTAAGGCTACGTTAAAAAAAAAAGAACTGTTATACTAAGACAACCTCACATACTAGGACCATGTGACAATGTTGTTATATTATGTTAATGCTTGTTTCATCTAATTATTTATTCTTATTGTATGTCTAATTTACATGAGATAAGAAGGTCAATATTTTTTTTAAAATGTGTATAGAAAAAAAAATCTGCATTTACACTAAGTAATCATCGTGATAATGGCTTACTTTGAACAGCAATACTGGTAAACTGAAGTTCCACAACAGCCATAAGCACAATAGAGGCTACTAAAAGTATTGTCTCCATAACAATATTCACCACAAACGGTGATGGCTGAAAAACAAAATATTGTTGATAGCACTTGAGTATTGCACAATCTGTTTTTTGTTTTGTAAGAGCTGTAATTGTTGTTGCAGGCGTCGATATGACGACTACTTGAATGTCCTCTTAACGACTTTATTTACGACATGTAATTGAATTAATTACGATTTTAACCAAGTTACATTTAATTCCACGTTTACTTTCAGTGAGAAATATATGACATTTATTTCGGAAATGTAAACCCAAATAGGTAGCCCTCACATGAATCTCTGACTTAATTTAAAAAAATAATTAATACATTCTTAAGCTTAATATATCTGCTAAGAATTTTAAACATTCAACAATTATTGTCAAATCATATTTTAACAAAAAATGCAAAATTGTATTTAAATAAAAAATTTTTTTAAAGTAAATTATTAAATTTTGTTTGGTTTAAATGCAAAGAAAAAAGTGGTGCCATGTGCGATAGAATTTCAATGACTTTTCATACCAAAAAAATTAAAAAAAAAAAAAAATACATATCTAAATACCCTGTAAAAGTGTTAGGAACACAACCACTATATGTCTGTGATCCATGGTAGTCCTCTGATCGAAGTGAGCCTTGTGACTGCCTCATACTCGCTGGAGCTTGCGATCGCATTGATTTCTACCGACACATTTCTGTTCCAACCGGTTTTAGCCACACTCTTCAGGTATGACACCGCACTCCCCCCTTACCCCGAAACTCTAACCGCCCATTACCTTATCCTCTTAAGACGGCAAGACATGCATATTACAAATACTTGCAAACCCTTTCCTCTTTCACCAATAGCACACCACTGCCCTACTCTGCCCCAGACCATCTATCACTGACTCCGAAATCGCGTAATACCATTCCCTAATTTATAGTCACCACCAAATACTCTCCTTCATTACACACTCGCCTCATAGACATCCAATCATCTATTTATCCCTTATCCTCTCTTCATTAACGGTGATCTCTTACGAATAAATACATACATTTCCTACCTACATTCCCTACCTACATTCCCCACCTACATTCCTTACCTATTTCCCTACTACATTCTCTACCTACTTTCCCTACCTGCGTTCCCTACTAATTTTCCTACAAAAATTACCTACCAACATTCCCTACCTACATTTCCCATCTACATTCTCTACCTACATTCCCTAACTACATTTCCTACTTACATTCCCCACTTTCTTTCCATATTACATTCCCTACCTACATTCTCTTCATACATTTTCTACCTCACAACCTCAAACTCGCCTCCTCATATCATACACGTTTCACTTTGTTCTAATTTTTTTACCTACTCTCACTCCTAGTCTCGACCATTCATTTCCTGTCCCCTTTATACGTAAGTACAAGACTATTATCCAGACTGCCCCACCCCCACTCAAAAAAAGCGACCTTCCCTACAAAAAAGATATCACATTTACAGTTACGCAATTGTCATCCAATTTACCATGGCTCGGAAAATATCATCGAGTTATCAAAACAAGCCTTCAATCAAACAACTCTTTTTTCCATTAAATGCTACTAAATGCGGGGAGTTAAGACTGGGTAAAATACTAAGTAATGGTATAGTTGTTTACTGTATGTTTACATTTTGTGATTTTCAAATTTATCCCAATAAAATAATTAAGTCTCAACATTGTGCTATTATTGTGATGTTAAGACACTGAAGAGTGGAGTCATAAGAGGGAAAAAATGATGTCATTTTATAAGGCGGTATAAAATCTGGGTACATAACTGCAGGTAACTGTGCCCCCAAGAACAACTCATTCACTGTAAATTATAGAACCACTGTAGGCAATTTAAAGTTCTGAAATTAGCAGTGAATTTGTTCATGGATAACAATAGAAGATGAAATGTTCTATTAAATTCCTCTTTTTGTTGTCTCTGCCTGTATTTACTCTTTTACCGTACTAATGGTCTATTACATTCCTCTTGCTATCCTCTTGGACACTTTATTTCAGCTTGTGTTTAGTATTATTATTTAGTTACTTACGATAGTATGAAATTCCAAATAAAACTTTCAATCAACTGACATTTTGGGACATTTTACTGTTTCAACAACACTCAGATAATTCAAAGATTAATGAATAAATGATACTTTTCTTTACATAATAATGCAATTTATATTCAATTTTTTTCCCTCACACTATCGTTACTATCATAGCTTGTTAAGGAATACAGGGCATCAATGCATTAGTTTGCCCAAGGCCCCCGTTGATGTTAAGACGGCCCTGGTGACGATCACATATTCAGTGGCGTAGGATGAGAGGCTATTTTTTAAAAAAAAATGAGACATGTTATTTTTTTAGTAACTGCACAGTTTTTTTCCACAAATTTTGGACCACCCCACGTGTCATTAGCAATAGCTACGCCATTGTATGTGTCAGTGAGAAAACCTTGCTGAAAATCTCCTCACCATTATATATGTCAGTAATAAAACCTTGCTGAAAATCTCCTCACCATTATATATGTCAGTGATAAAACCTTGCTGAAAATATCCTGATATATATCTGCTCTATACCACATGTCTGATAAGTATATTCCATGTTGTTGTTCAGTTGTTAACCATGTGCAGACACACCTTTGGATTCTGATGCCGAACGATTGTTTCTACGACTGTGCTAGCGCAACTAACACCAGCCATACCACCCAAGCAACTGACAACAGCCATTCCACCCAAGCAACTGACACCAGCCATACCACCCAAGCAGCTGACACCAGCCATACCACCCAAGCAACTGACACCAGCAATACAAACCAAGCAACTGACACCAGCCATACCACCCAAGCAGCTGACACCAGCCATACCACCCAAGCAACTGACACCAACTATACCACCCAAGCAGCTGACACCAACTATACCACCTAGGCAGCTGACACCAACTATACCACCCAGGCAGCTGACACCAGCCATGTCACCCAAGCAGCTGACACCAGCCGTAACACCTAAGCAACTGACACCAGCCATATCACCCAAGCAACTGACACCAGCCATACCACCCAAGCTGCAACTGACACCAGCCATACCACCCAAGCAGCTGACAACACAATGCCAGTCCCGCAGCTGACAACAGCCATGCCATTCCCAAAAATGACAAAACCACGCCACTCCCAAAGATAACAACCACGCAACTCTCAAAGATGACAACATAAAATACATACAACATACACCATGTACAATGTACACAACATGCAATATACACTATGTCTCTCCATTCAACTTGCATATCATAAAACACATTAGAACGGTTCGATCATGTAATGAAATACCTTTCAAAAGGCAGTGTTTACAGATTTACCAGCACGGACATGACCACGAAAACGGTTGATCCAGTTATTGTAATAATATATATATTTAATAGCAATAGCCGACGACGTGTGCGAAAGGCGTCAATCAAGGGAAGTTATTCAAGCCTCGTACAAATTTAACATAAAGCACTCAATTGTTTGAATAAATTAAATCTGCTTACTCGAAATTTTGATTATTAAACAATAAAAGTGAATCGTTTTCAGCGACAAGCCCTTCTCTAATGTGGAACACTAAAAGCCCTTCTCTAATGTGGATCACTACAAGTCCTTCTCTAATGTGGATCACTACAAGCCCTTCTCTAATGTGAATCACTACAAGCCCTTCTCTATTGTGGATCTCTAAAAGCCCTTCTAAAATTAGAATCACTACAAGCCCTTCTCTAACGAGGATCACTACAGGCCCTTATCTAATGTGGACCACTACACGCCCTTCTCTAATGTCGATCGCTACAAGCCCTTCTCTAATGTGGATCTCTACGGGTCCTTCTCTAATGTGGATCACTACGGGCCCCTCTCTAATGTGGCTCACTACAAGCCCTTCTCTAATGTGGATCACTACAAGCCCTTCTCTAATGTGGATCACTACAAGCCCTTCTCTAATGTGGATCACTACAAGCCCTTCTATAAAGTGGATCACTACAAGCCCTTCTATAAATATTGACCACTACAAGACCTTCTCTAATGTGCATCATTACAAGCCCTTCTCTAATGTGGATCACTACAAGCCTTCCTGTAATATTGACCACTACAAGCCCTTCTCTAATGTGGATCATTACAAGCCCTTCTCTAATGTGGATAACTACAAGCCCTTCTCTTATGTGGATCACTACAAGCCTTCCTGTAATATTGACCACTACAAGCCCTTCTCTAATGTGGATCATTACAAGCCCTTCTCTAATGTGGATCACTACAAGCCCTTCTCTAACGTAGAAATACTACGGGCCCTTCCCTAATGCGGATCATTACAAGCCCTTCTCTAATGTGGATCACTACAGGTCCTTCTCTAATGTGGATCACAACACAACAGGCTCTTCCGTTATATCTATAATCAGAGGAGAGGTTTTTTTCAACTTCAAAAACTGATGTAAGAATAAGTTAATAATATTATTTTAGGATAGACATTAACATAAGAGCAAAAAAAAAAAAAAAAAAGATTATAATTTATCGAGAAAGGGTTTTTCTTATAAACAGAGGAGAGGTTTTTTTCAACTTAAAAAACTGATGTAAAAATAAGTTAATAATATTATTTTAGGATAGACATTAACATAAGAGCAAAAAAAAAAAAAAAAAAAGATTATAATTTATCGAGAAAGGTTTTTTCGTGTCCAAAAAGTACTTTAATGAATTCACTTGAATAGTATTTCTGGAGATTGCCAATTTTGGTAGCGTTAGTCTGCGTAGAGCCAATCTGTAGGTATGACATATAGGGGGGACAGGCTGCGATCAGTTTAAGTAGAAAGAAGTATAGTAAACAAAATAACCAAATTTAACTATGAACTGGTTCAAATAAAATGAATATCTTTATAAATAATAGTTTTCAAAAGTTGTATTATCTGTCCGATTTCGTTATGGAAAGAAACACTCATAAATGTTCAGTGTTATTTTCTCTGTTTAGTTAGTCAAACATACACAAGTGCCGTATGATTGCTCATAATTTTATTGACACAATATTTAGTATAGTATCATTAGTAAGACCATCTACATTTTAATATTGACATGCGGAATATATTTTTTTTACAAAGTTTTTCAATTACAGACTAGTCTTTGTTGCCGTCGATGTAAAAGGGTTGTTAGTAGTTTATTTGAGATCCATGTGACCGAGACTCTTGCTTAATAATAACAAAACTCAGTAGTTATATATTTCCTATTCACAAGGCCCTGGCTTTTATTGTGCGAGGGGCATTGTCAGCATATAAAATGTAAGACGAAACTGCGTATCTCTTTAAGTTGGATCAGACGTCATCAAGTATAAGAGGATTAGCATATCTAATGTAATAGAACAGACATATTTACTGTAATAGAATATACATGAAAACAGCATGTTAATATATTTTATTGATTAAATTTAAAAAAAATTTGTAGCATGTTATATTTATATCCTGGGAAATGTGTTATAAACAATCAATATTATTTATGAATTCTATTAAGGTGATCGAAATTCAAGTGTAAAAAAATAATAAAGATAAGAAAAGTAAAAAAATTCTTGAATTTTAAACTAAGAAACATAACCAGCTGGTACAAATAATTTTTTTTACAGAAAACAT